AGATTAAAATGGTTTTAATCTCAACTAACAGTTGATGAAGAGTACACAAAACAAAAAAAATTGCTATTGTAATATAAATACATTAAATATTATCAATTTTAAAAGTTTAATTATGATTTTATTTTACATAAGAAATAAGAAAATAAGAAAATAAATAAGGAAGTCATACAATTTTTTACATAAGAAACAGTTTTCAGCTTACAGTTTTTTAAGAGAGATTTTGCATTTAAATTTTTATATACTTTAGTTTCAGTTTTAAATGTAATAACTTTAGTTATAGGACAGAATGAAAGTTGTGTCTAGTTTTTATTTACTCATATTTTTGAAATGTGCTCAATTATTAAATAGTTTAGAAAATGAATTAACAAATAAATTAGTTGAGAATCCTAATGAGTGCAGATGTTGTGGGGGGCATTTGTTTGTTTGTTTGTTTGTTTGTTTGTTTGTTTGTTTATTATGGCATGATTTGGCTTCGCTTGTAATACTGCACTTCTTCTGACTGATCACTTTTATCCTATGATAAAGCATTTCTATCCTGATGGGCGTGGTCTCTTCCAGGATGACTCCACCCCCATGCACAGGGCAATAGGTTGTCCTATTTTCAAGTGGGATGGCCATCTTCTCTCTGTCAATCACAGTAACATGAGTCAATCAAAGGTGTTTGTTAGCTGTTGGACACAATAGCCATTTTTATCCAAAACAAGCGTTCGTTCTGGAAATCTAGACATCATGTAAACGTCTGGCGATGTTTTCTAAGCTTCTTTGTGCTCAGTGGCTTTCCTGTGAGTCACAACCGTCACACCATGAACAAGAATACAAGAAAATGTTTAATTTTCAAAAGGATTGAGGGTTGAGAGAAAAAATGGACTATTTATGAGGGATAAAGAAGAGGAAATTGCAGTATAGATTACAATCCTGTTTTGGAGGACGTTGATGAAGTCTCCATGGAGAGAAACCTCAAGTCCTTTTTAGGTGAATCAAAGTGTGAAGGACGCAGCTGGTCATCAATCCATCAGCTGGGAACTGCTGGACCCAAAACAAACAAGCCAATAGACTGGATATATTCCTTTCTCAGCTGCAAGGCCATGTCCCACTCGGCCCAAATTCATGAATTCCTGTCTCTGATAAGAGCATTCCAAGTGTTGGACGACGTTTGGTATGGAAACGCCTCGTCTTCCTCGGCCCGTTGATGACAGAGCTTCATTCATCATCGTTAGTGGAACAATCTGAACATTGTTGGCATGCATTCTGTTTTTTTGCCTTTCTTCTATGAACACACACATACATACAGACTCATACACACTTCCCTGCAGGTCAGGAGCCACAGCTCTGTGCTTCAGAAGAGACCACCCTGGAGAGAACGGCAGGATTGACTGAACAAAGCCCGAGATAAAGATGGCTAATTCATAGCTACACTTTAAAAGGCGCGGGGATGAGGGTTCTCATAACACACCACGCCTGAACATGCAACGTCACTACACACACTAGTGATGGGTGCTGTGTTTCCATCACTCGTGAACTTTACAGGGGTAAAACTTCTGATTCTTATTCATCTCACATACTTATGTTTCGCTAAGAAAGATCTCTATCATTCATTCTGTCACTCCATCTCTCCCCTCACTTCCTGTCTTTTATCTTCCCATCCAAATGTATATAGCAGTGTGTCTATCACTGATTGCTGATCACTGATTGTTGATCACAGTCATGAGGAGACTGGAACACACACACTTGCTATCCTAAACACAGTTATCACTCTGTCATCAGCCTCTCTTTATCCACCCCAAAACTGTTATACCTCACATGGTATCTGTCTTCCAGACATACTGCATGTCTGTGAAGTAATGGTGCCGGAGGACGTCTGTAGTAATTATAAAATAATTACTAAGTGATTACTAAATGTGATAAGCCATCACTGTATAAATAACAGAGATGGGTGTGTCTTCACAGTGTACCCATGGTTGTAAATTCCATGCGTACTACATACGCTTCATTTTAATACAAACTGATTGTTTTGTCCTTTATTAGAAGAGCTTGATGTAGGGGGCGTGGCCATGCAGTAGTATCTCACATGCTGAATATGTAGGCAGCACCTACGCTAGGAACGCAATAACTAACTACACCCTGCATCTCAGCATGGTACGGTAACTGTTCAACCCAGGACCGCAAAGTCCTGCAGAGAGTGGAGCGCTTAGCTGAGCGCATCTCCGGGTCTGCTCCCGCCCCTATCTGCATGACATCTACACCAGAGGATGCAGTACAAGAGCTGCTAAAATCTTCAGAGACTCCACCCACCCTGGGAACTGTCTGTTCAGCCTGTTGCAATCAGGCAAGCGCTTCCGTTGTCTAATGGCTAAAACAGAGAGGCTCAGGAGGAGCTTCTTCCCTCAGGCCATGAGACTCCTCAACTCGGATACTCCACCACTCAGATACCTTAAGACTCCATGTACTACATGATACACAATATGGTCAGGTGTCCACATACCCCTGATCATCACACCCATATGTGGTTCTTCCCCAAACTGTTGCCACACATTTGGAAGCACACAGTTGTATAGGATGTCTTGTTGTTCCTCTTTCAGCTGCTCCCATTAGGGGTTGCCACAGCAGATCATTAGTCCACATATTTTTGATTTGGCAGTTTTTATGCCAGATGCCCTTCCTGACACAACCCTCCCCAATTTTATCCAGGCTTGGGACCGGGAATTGAACCCATGTCACAGCAGTGAGAGTGCTGTGGCCTAACCACTAGTTCTCCAGGGACCCCCTTGTATGCTATAGCATAAGATGCCCAAACCTGTTCCAGCATGACAACGCCCCTGTGAACAAAGCGAGCTCCATGAAGACATGGTTTGCCAAGGTTAGAGTGGAAGAACTCGAGTGTCCTTTACAGAGCCCTGCCCTCAACCCCACTGAACACCTTTGGGATGAGCTGTAATGCAGACTACTTGCCAGGCCTCACTAATGCTCTTGTGGCTGAATGGATAAATCCCCACAGCCACGCTCTAAAATCTAGTGAAAAGCCTTCCCAGAAGTGTGAAATTTATCATAACTGCAAAGGGAGGATTAGATCTGGAATGAGATGTTCAACAAGCACATATGAGTGCGTATTGGTCAAGTGTTCACAAATTTTTGGCCATATAGTGTATCTATAGAATGCAGTATTTGTTAAACAGACCTTCTTTCCCAGTGACTATATCCCAAATTGTCCAAAGATATGTGCATATCAGAGTTGCTACAAGGAAATATTTTGTGATCTGGCAATATTATTTAGAATGACTAGCTAACTGGCACCTGTTGTGGTCAATGATGATGTATTGCAAAGAACTAGCATTAGATACAGTACCAGGGCTCTGGTTCCCTCCCACCTCCCAAAAACAGGCCAGTAGGTGGACTGGCTACACTAAATTGCCCCTAGGTGTGAATGTGTGTGTGTGTTAGTGTCACCTTTCGATTAATGTGCAGTTACTTTTGTTACATGCAATTACTTCTGGCTGAAACACAACTCCAGGAAAAAAAAACCCCACACATTCTAAAGTATTGCAAAGAAAGAAACCTGACAAAGCACTGAAAGTCATGATTGTTTATTTAAGTATTGAGTATAGAAGCATTAAAGAAGCTTTTTTGCACCTTAAATGGTAAAAGACCATGCAGTGCATCCTCAATGAGAGGCTTTAGGATAAAATTGGTTGCTTATGTTACATACGTTCTGTCCTCACAAATGGAGCGGAGGTAGATGAGGTAGAAGCTCTAAGAGTCTGAAAGGGGATACGGATCAGATCGACCGTGACAAAAAGAGGACGAGTAGAAAAGTAGGTGAAAGGAAAAGAGTGATATTGTTTGCTCTTCCTGCGGTGGTGAAAAGGTGGTGTGGATTAGCATTGTGCTCACACAGACACAGGAAGGACAAGGAGACAATACACACTTCCCCTCCTTCTGTTTTTAAAGCAGCGTCCCTCTTTTCTCCTTTTTTGACACACCGTCAACCTTCCTCAGGTTTGTCTGCTCTCTTTTGTTGCTGCTCTCTTTTCACCTGAGTTTATGACACATCGCACCCATACACACGCCGGAAAGGGAGGGAACGAGGAAGGAGGGAGGAGAGGAGTGTTGTCTTTCTTTCATGTGTTCCATCTAAAGAGAGAGAGAGAGTCAGATGTCTGGGTGGTTAAATGGGATGTTTAGTCTGTGGATACGTCATGGGAGCTGCGTTTTACACTCCACTCTCCCCTCAGGGCGCTGGAAGGATGAACTGAAACACACACTCACACACACATGGCTGGAATTACTTATTATTATTGCTCATCATCATTTTCAGTGAAGCCTGATCCCTCGGATGAGTAACTCGGAGCTCTGTTTCCGTGTCACTGCGGCTCCTAATGTTTTTGCTTCAAGCGACATGAAGAAATCAAGAACTCTTTATTCTCTAAATGTACAGGAAACACGGGACTCAGCACAGGAACATGCAACATATTAACCATACACGCTTACATCATACCACATACATTTAATAAGGATGTGCACTGTATCAGTCTCGCAGTGGCTTAGTACAGCCTGTAGTGTGTGTGTCCTTGACGAAACTTAACAGCAGCAAGTCTTTCAAGCATTTCTCTATTATTACAGAGAAATGAAGGTGAAGAAAATCTCCCTTTTATTTTAATAATTAGTAAAACACCTTTGGAGAAACTGAAATTTCATCGGTGAAGCTGTTCTCTCAACTCCGTTCGCATCGCATGTACGCCTCACTGTAGTAAAAGACATCATTCGAGTCTGGCTGGTGTCTTCTTTTTCCTTCCTACAGGTTGTTTGAATGCACTGCATTGTACTCCATTTTGCTTAGTTTTGTCAGTGAATCCACATCAAAGTGCGTCTAGAAGCAGTAGTTAGGAAGCTAGCAGTTCAGCTCTGGCCCAGAGTAAGGTGATCTAGACTCTGACTCAGAAACGATCGGCTGGCATCTTGACAGTTTCTCTAGATCATTAAATCGCTGCCAATCAGACCACAGCTCCTATCCTCAATGCCTCGTATTTGCTTATTTGGCTGATGGTTTTATCCAAAGCAACTGAGGTTTAAGTGTCTTGCTCAAGGACCCAACAGTGGCAGCTTGGTGATGCTGGAATCTGAACTCACCACCTTCCGATCGGTTGTTTGCAGCCTTAACCACTGAGCCACCACCAATCAGACCACAGCTCCCACCCCTAGTGCCACTGTAACCAATCAGAATCAAACCAAACCAAGAGGCAAAACAGAAAAGTGTTCGCCCTTTCATCAGGTGATTGCAAGTTCAAATCCCGACGATGCCACAACCATCCATGGCTGGGAGCCAAGTTAGCAAAATTTGCTGTGCTCTGCTGTGCCTCCCCTGTCAATCAAAGTGATGCTAGCCAATCTATACATGAGCTTCTACAAGCTCATGTATGTGCTTTCCTCCACGTGTATTAAGCTGCTCTGTAATGCAGCATGTGCAACAGTTTGAAAAGATGTGATTGGCTGACTTCACGTGTCTTGGAGGAAGTATATGCTTGCCCCACCCTCCCCGGTTATTAGCTGTTGTGTGCTAGTGGAGAGCTGGCGGGTAGGTGGGACTTGGCTAGAATAAATGGGGCAAAAAAAAGTAAGCAGTTAAAGTTAAAATATTAATACTTTGGGAAAAATATAAATATTTACAACAAATACTTTACCTAAGTGACTAGTCATATCTACTCAGTCACTACACACCAGCAGTTATCACTAGTACTATCACGCAATACACCAATTCATGCTATATATTTTCTGTATGCCCTTGCAAACCGCACATCCTCACACACACATACAAGTCTGCTGGATTTCTAAATCCACCCCCACACACACACAGAACAGATACCTCACTGTTTCATCATCTCCATTTACATAAAGACAAAAGAAGATGCCGTTTTAAGCGGATTGTACGGGTGAAGGGTCATGACACGTGACAAGACCCATAGGAAGTGGAATGTGTGTATGATCTTAATTATTCATAGAGAGGAAGCTTATATTGCCACAAAAGCCACTGAGTATCATCGAACCATTGTGTATGAAATCTGTCTGAATGCCCAGTATGTTTTATTTTTGCTAATGCCACTAACATGTAAGCTAACAGATATGAGACATTGTTAGATTTCCAACAGTGGAATTGTATGTGAAGTAATTCAGAAATGATTCTGATTAAAACTTGAATTCTATACATTGTTAAACTGTCTATGTCCATAAACAGAACACATGTATTTTGAGGTTTGTGTATGAGGATTAAGCCTTGCAGTTTGTACAATGCCAAAATGGATGCTAAAGGATTTTATTTCTTGATAGCTACATGAGCTTTGTATTTCCAGCATGGATCTCAACCACATGGTTCTAGCATTTTAAAGTCTGGCAACCCTTAAAAGTGAATTAGGTGAAAATTGTTTAGAGTTTCAATTTGGACTTTGGTGCAAGAGCATCATGGGTGTTTTGACAGCTGGACTTTTGGAAACAGCCTGTTTCACTACGGCACATATCTATCCAACAACTTGATCAAAGCATGTCATACACTGTGTGAGGAAATCACACTTACACACTTAGCTTGCAAGGTTTTTACACATCTTTAGACATATTGACTGTTTTTACCACCATGTTTGTGAAACTGGCTCCTCACACAGCATGATCTTTACAAGAACATTAAAAAAAAACATTTCCAACTAGTTCTGGTGAAATATATTTATGGTTTGCTATTCAAAACCAAATTTTCTGTCTCTTTTTTTTTTTTTTTTTTGG